TTTTCCTTCAAGTTTAATTATTTAGTTTTGAAAAGTGATTAAGGGTAAAATCGTAACTTCACATTAAAATGTTAAAAGAGTTCAACCAGAATAATCTTCTCGAATGGATTCTTTCATCCAAGATCGAAATATAATCGTTGCGATAACCACAAATTTTATGCCCAATTCCTTAAGGTTCTTTTTTTACCATTTTCACTTTTGTGGCGATCATCTCTGTGGGTTGTGATGCGAGTGCTACACAGTTCGGCGAAGGCGGAGCGAAGCTCCTGCGTGAATCTTTGACTTCACTCGCTCTGTTCCCCATTTCCCGATTTCATTCGGACCCTTCTGGTTTCTCATTCCGCCATTGTTTTGGCTTCCTCTCTTTGTTTTAGTTGATACGAAGTGGGTTTCTGTTTTTATTCATTTTATCTGCTTGTGGCCGCTGTTGCTCTGCATTCAAGAATTGATCTCCGCCTCTGTTTTCCGGTAAGTTGTCCTCTAATAATGTAGTTGTAGGTTTCTTTCTGTGGGTCTTTTTCGATGGAATGTTAGATGAAGTTTTCATTCTTAATCTCTGTGATTCTGATTGCGTACTTGGTTTGTTTTGTTCATAGCCCCTTTTCTTTCATTTCGTCTGTTTAGAGCTAAGCTTGGATTCTGATGGATTTGAACGGGAATACACCTTTGAAACCTATTCGAAGAAGCTCGTCGCAGAAGGAAAGTGAAAATGGTAGCCAAGTAGTTGTTGAAATTAGCAGAGATGAAAATGGGCACTCTGTTCCGAAGCAAAACAGAGTCGATTCACAGACCAAAGAGCCGATGGATTCAAGTATTGGCTATGGCTACGACTCGCATCTCACTCCGACGGCGAATAAACCCCCGAAAATCCCCGGTTCAGTTGGAACCCTCACGCCTAGAAAATCCCTCAAAAGATCAATCCTATCGAAACCCAAATCCAGATTCGGGGAACAATCAAGCGTCATCGATTCAGATACGTTTGAGGAGAATCGTTTGTCGTTTAGAGATCAAATCAGTGCAAATTCATCGAGACGTTCTACTCTCAACATGCCGAAGGAACATCACGAGGAAGGAGATGACGAGTTTTTCAAGATAGAGAAGTTTAAGAAAGTGAAGCACAAGAAAGTGAAGGCAATAACATTGATTAAATGGGTTGGAGCTTTTTGCATCATTGGTTGCTTGGTAGCTAGCTTGACTATTAAACGTTTGAAGAATTACTTCCTTTGGGGTATAGAGATTTGGAAATGGTGTTTGCTTGCTACTGTGATTTTGTGTGGAATGATATTTACTCATCGGGTTATGAACGTGATTGTGTTCTTGATTGAGAGGAACTTTTTGCTTCAGAAAAAAGTGTTTTATTTTGTTCATGGGTTGAAGAAGAGTGTCCAAGTGACCCTTTGGTTGACATTGGTTCTTGTTACATGGGTGTCTTTGTTTGACCGGAGTAGCCATAGGGTCTTGAGATCAAAGATCAGTGGGAAGATTTTGGATGCCATTACATGGACTCTAATAACACTTCTGATAGGAGCATTTTTGTGGTTGATAAAGACATTGTTGTTGAAAATACTGGCCTCCAAGTTCCATATGAACCGATTTTTCGACAGAATTCAGGAATCCATTTTCCATCATCATGTTCTTCAAACCCTCTTGAACCCTTCACCAATTGGCATGCCTGAAAGTACTGTCGAGTCCAACAGTGGTCGATTGAGTTTCAAGGGTAAAAAATCCGACCATAAGAAGGTGATTGACTTGGGAAAGATTCATCAGCTGAAGCGAGAGAAGGTTTCGGCATGGACGATGAAGGTTTTGGTCGATGCAGTTGCAAGTTCGGAGATGTCGATCTCACAACTACTTGACGAAAGCTACCAAGTTGCTGACGGTGAGATCGCCGATGAGATGGAGGTTGCTGGATATGCTGCCTACAAGATCTTCGACAATATTGCCGTTCCTGGAAACGAGTGAGAAACTTTTGTTTATGTTTGTGATGTTTTGTTGAGATTCATGTTGATATTTTTTTACACTTTCCCTTCTGTTAGTTTCATAGAGGAAGAGGATCTTCGGAGAGTTATGATCAAAGAAGAAGTTGATCTTGTGCTTCCACTCTTTGAGGTAGATGAGACAAGGAGGATTGACTGGAAATCTCTAACAAATTGGGTGGTGAGCTCTCGTATCTATTATTTTTCTTTTGTTTGCAGTGTCGTCGAGCCTCCCGAACACATTAAAAGTCGAGGTCGTTTAGGCTTATGTTAAACAACGACGAGAATCGTTCTCATTTGGCCGTTCCTAATAAGCAAACATTATCTTAGAACATAGAAATGCATATGACCGATTGTCTATGTATCAACCCAAGCCCACCGCTAAAAGATATGTCTTCTTTGGGCTTTTCCCTTTCGGGCTTCCCCTCAAGGTTTTTAAAACGCTTCTACTAGGGAGAGGAATGTTTCGTTCCCTTCTCCAACCGAGGTGGGATCTCACAATTCACCCCCTTAGGGGCCAGCTCGGTGTCTGGCTCTGATACCACTTGTAATAACTCAAGTCCACCGCTAGCAGATATTCCCAAGCCCACTGCTAGCAAATATTGCCGTTTTGGCTCGTTACGTATCACCGTTAGTCTCACGGTTTTAAAACATGTCTGTTAGGGAGAGGTTTCTACACCCTTGTAAGGAATGCTTTGTTCCCCTCTCCAACCGATGTGGGATCTCACAATCCACCCTCTTAGGGGTCATCTCGGTGACTGGCTTTAATACCATTTGTAATAACCCAAGCCCACCGCCAATAAATATTGTCCGTTTTGGCCCATTACGTATCACTGTCAGTCTCACGGTTTTAAAACGCATTTGTTAGGGAGAGTTTTCCACACCCTTATAAAGAATGCTTCGTCCTCCTCTCCAACCGATGTGGGATCTCATAGTCTAATTGTTTGAATTGTTTTTCAATAGCGGAAGCGTCTCGACAATATTCCATGGCATTCAGTAACTTCTCTTGTTTTATGCAGTTAAAGGTATATAAAGAGAGGAAAACACTAGCACATGCCTTGAAAGACACTAAAACAGCTGTGAAGCAATTGAACAATTTGGTAACAGCGCTTCTGATAATAGTAACAGCTATTATTTGGCTTCTGTTGATGGAAATTGCTACAACCAAAGTACTTGTCTTCCTCCTATCTCAACTTGCAGTGGCTGTTTTCATGTTTGGAAACACTTGCAAGACTATCTTTGAAGCTCTAGTCTTTGTGTTTGTTATGCATCCATTTGATGTCGGGGACCGTTGCGCTGTCGAGGGCGTCCCGGTAATCCTCGTTCGTACCCTTTCGCTCATTAAAATCTCTCGTTTCCTCTTTTTGACTTCTTCTTGTGGCAATCTGCAGTTGATGGTTGAAGAAATGAATATCTTGACAACAGTCTTCTTGAAACTCAACAATGAGAAAGTGTATTATCCCAACTCAGTTTTGGCAACAAAGTCAATCACGAATTACTACAGAAGTCCAGACATGAGCGACACGGTAGAATTCTCGATCGGTTTCGCAACGCCATTGGAGAGGATCGGGCTCATGAAAGACAGAATAAAGAGGTGGGTGAAAGTCGAACAAATAATGAAAACGCTTTCATTTTTGGAATGCAATCCTTACCTTACTGATGGTTTCTGCAGGTATTTGGAGAAGAATCCACAACACTGGCATCCAAATCATAGTGTCGTGGTGAAGGAGATCGAAGACGTGAACAAGATAAAGTTTGCTCTTTATTCGAACCACACGATGAATTTCCAGGATTGGACGGAGAAGAATCGTCGAAGAACCGAGCTGGTGATGGAGTTGAAGAGAATTTTCGAAGAACTGAAGATCAACTACAATCTTCTACCTCAAACAGTTCATCTCTTCCCAACTGAGGAGCACCGATGAAGATGTTGCTTAAGCTTTTGGCAAAGAAATGGTTAGCTGCTTCTTTTATGAACTAAATTAGTATCAGCTTAGGTTTAGTGAAGCTAGTTGTAGGGCTGTTGCAGCGCAGGTACTCATTATCACTTACTTCAATCAACATTTCTCCTTTACAATATGTAGAATTTGACACATTTTAATGTTAAACATGCTAGTAATATTATTCTCAATGGTTTGAAGATCGAGGGATCAAAGTTGAGAATTTGAACTTTTAATCTCTCTTCGTAAGGAATCGAAGAAGCTATTGAAATGAATTGCTCTCGATTTTCAATTTAAATGTTTATAATATATATAGATAATCTTTGAAATTTTTGTTAATCAAATTCTGCCAATATTTATTATTCTGCCTTTACTTTCGGTTAGAATCGATACAGTTGTTAGCTCTAATACTAATTGTTAGGATCGCTCAACAACGCAGACTTGATCAAGATTAACACAAAGACCAGGAGACTCGATCAAGATTAACACAAAGAACAAGAGAGGAAATATACAAAGAGGAACATTAGCTAAAGGTTTTATTATCGATGACGTACAAGAGAGAAATACAAAGATTTGAGACCCCCAACTAATGGGTATATATGGTTTCAATTCACTAAATCTCCATAAAATTTTTGCCAAATATCTATCATATGTATATCCCTATCAGGTCTTAACCTAATATCTACCATAAATATCCCAGATCTTTATTAAGCTCCATATCCCAACCGTTTCTATATTTTATATGTTTTTTTAGTTACAAATTTAATATGCATTTATCCCCTCACCTACATTTTATATAAATTAAGATCGGAGAAAATACAACAGAGAAAATCTGGTTGTTCTTAGATCAATTAGATAATCCTTTTTATTTTTTAGCAATTTATCAAAAAAAATGAATTTATCAAAAAAAAAAAAAAAAAA